GAAAGAATGGCCTTGGGCATATGCCGAATATCATCGTGGCAGTCGTGCAGATTCCGAACACCGGTCGCAGCATGGGGTGGGAGGAGAATAGTGCCAACACTGGCATTCAACTGAGCGTTCTTTGAGACCCGAACAGGGATCTCGCCAAGGCAGGATAAGGTAGCCAAGCGGGAAGCTGCATCCTGAGAAGGAGCAGCAACGACACGTGTACCGAGATGAGTAGGGTTGAAGGTAACAGAGGCATCCACGGAATCAACAAGATGTCGATGGAGGGAGAAATCGTCAGGGGGCGCAGAATCAAGAGGGAGGAGATCAAAGTATTTTTCCTACGAAGCGGGACGAAACAAGGCCTGATACGCATAGTACGGGAAGGAATCGAGCGAGTGCGGCCGTGTCGAGGACGGCGTTGAGAACCCCCAGAGAGAGAGAGGTTATAAGGCGCAGTAGTTACAACCGTTAGATGGAGCCATGCCAGGGGACGAGGTAGTCACCACTGGGGGGCTTTGGGCTCGACCAAACCACAGAGGAGAGAGGGGAGCCGAGGGGAGTAGTCAGAGAGGCCAAAGAAGGAGCAAGGTCGGGCCCCAATGCAGCAGAGGCTACAGAGCCCAGTCATCCAACACAGACCGACTCGGGGGCTTGGTCGCCCACCCCACGAGCCTGAGAAGGTAAAGGAGGAACAGGAACACAACATAGGTACGAAACATAAACATTCATTCACGAATGTACCCCCACACCCACCATGGAGCCACAATTACAGGCAGGTTACCCAACAAGAAGCTTTCGCCGATCATGCCGGGGCCTCCTAGGGGGTGCGTCGTGAGTATACGCCCCACAAACGCCACCGTAAGAACTGTCAGTCCGTCGAGATCGGGTTCAGTGACGAAAGAGGGATTGATAATAAAAGGTTCCCCTCGCTCTCGACGTTGGGTACTACAGTTATATGGGTGCAAGAGTATGCCTCCTCATGCACCCGGGTGTCAAAATAGGTAAGTCCAAAGGGATAACCAAAACAAGCAAAAGGTCGGCAGGAAGCGACAAGCAGATAGGAGAAGAGGGGGGAGAAAAAACGAAACAGAAGGACAAGGAAAAGTTGTTCAGCAAAATTTGAGAGGACGGCAGCAGGAGCACAAGGCTACAAAAGGGCAGAGTACTGTCCCAAGGAGCATCACACTCCGGCAGCCGTCCACTAAGCCCACCTCACGGCATAAACGAGCTGAACAGGGAGGGGGTGAAAATATTGAAAATAAATAGGAAAATAATAAAGTCTAAGGTGCCTGCATCTGTGGATGAAGTTGACATCAACCAGTTTTCTCCAAAATTGGCACCCTTACAGATAGGCTTATGTGCAGTCAGGTGTATAAGTTTCATGCAAATCGTGCGAAAAAAAATATATATATCAATTCTTTGTTTTTCCTTAGTTATTTTTCTAATAAAACTAATTATAATATATTTTTTAATATATGCTATTGTGATAGCTGAGAGTCATAGATATGATTTCAGTTGACACTTGTATTTGATAATCGTTTTTGATCATTTTGGAATAATTTTGACAACTTTTTTTTATTATTTTGGAATAATTTTGACACATTTTTTTTCTCCCTTCCTATTTATGCTACGATGCTTAGACTTGGACCCATTGAAACCCTTTTCATATACAACTAGTCAAAAAAGTTTGATTGAAATCGAAGTAGATTTCATTTAATGATTTTTTGGGAAATCTGGAGCTAATGCCTCCCCTTAAAGTGGGTGACTACAGCCTACCTTACGATGGGTGACTACGGCCTACCTTATAGTGGGTGACTACAGACTACCTTTCAATGGGTGATTACAGCCTACATTATGGTAGGTGACTGCAGCCTTCTTTACGATGGGTGACTACAGCCTATTTTACAGTGGGTGACTACAGCATATCTTATGTGGGAACCGACCTGTGAGATTTATATTTATTTAATTTATATGAATTTATATTTACGTTAATTTATATACTTCGATAGCAATTTGTATAATGATAAGTGGACTGTATTTCTGCAATAATCTCATAATCTCACAAATCGATCCTCTACACATTAGGGGGGGTTATTATATTAATATATATGCAGCCAATCAAACTACAGTAATAGCTACATACATTGATGAGGTTCCTTATCTTATAGTACAGCAGGTTAGTCCACCAGGTATAACTAGGGTGTAGACACCAAATTATCCTCTTTGAGGTAGCTTCTATCACCCAGTAACTGGTGCACATAATCTTGCATCCTCGTCTTGACCTGTCAAAAGTGCGCTAGCTGTGAAGCCAGATACCTATATATGACAAGTATATCAGAGAAAACAGTACATGGAACATGAAGACCTGGCTTAATTACCTTTAGTTTGAGGCTTCCATGTGATCTAACCGGATAACCCTACCCAATGACATTAATGGCCACTAATGATAGATAATGGGTTTCGGATAGACACTTAACTTGAATTTGTAGACAGCGTGTTGATAATGGTACACTTTTAGTTTCCATAACACTACGTCCAAGTAAATTTAACAGGAGCCGAATTTGCTCCCGTGTGAGCCTCTGGTCTCAATAACAACAATGATGGCTGCCCTCCCTCCTCCACTGACGCCTGGCTTACATTGTCCAGATTTCAGAAAGTGATAGAAGGGTCACATTTACTCTACTTTAATATTGATAATTAAGTTAATTTATATAAGATGTTTTTATGATGGTAAAGTCCAAAGACTAATGTATTTAAGAATAATTCCCACCATAATAGCTGGTGAATTATAATAGTATGTGGTGATGATATCCCGTTTTCTATAGACGGTAATTCCACTACAAGTTACGTTTTCTATGGGTAACTTGTTTATACAATACAGCTATTATCTGTATGATTATTAAATGGTGTCGGATTTTCCGACATCTTATGGTGGGTGACTAGAACCTACCTTACGATTTGTCGCTACAGCGTACCTTACGATTGGTGACATCAGCCTACCTTATAATGGCTGACTATAGAATACCTAATAGTGGGTGATTACAGCCTGCCCTATAGTGGGCGACTATACAGCCTACTTTATGATGGGTGACTACAGTCTACCTTACGATGGGTGATTACAGCTTACCTTACATTGGGTGACTACAGCCTACCTTATGGTGGGTAAGTACAGTCTACTTTATGGTGGGTAAGTACAGCCTACTTTATCGTGGGTGAATAGAGCCTATCTTATGGTGGGTGAGAACAGCCTACTTTACGATGGGTGACTATAGTCTACCTTACGATGGGTGACTACAGCCTACATCTTCGTGCATGACTACAGCCAACCTATTGGTGGGTGACTACAGCCTTTCCGTATGGTGGGGGACTTCAGCCTACCTTTTGGTAGGTGACTACAGCCTACCTCACGGTGGGTGACTACAGTCTACCTTACTGTGCGTGAATAAAGCCTTCCTTACTCTGCGTGAATAAAGCCATCCTTACTCTGCGTGAATAAAGCCTACCTTATGGTGGATGACTGCAGTCTACCTAACGATGGGTGACTACAGCCTACCTTACATTGGGCGACTACAGCCTACCTTATGGTGGGTGAGTACAGCCTATTTTACGGTGGGTGAGTACAGCCTACCTTACAGTGGGTGACAACAGCCTACCTTAACGTGCGTGGCTATAGCCTACTTTACAGAAAGTGACTACAGCCTACCTTACATTACGTGAATAATGCCTATCTTACTGTGTGTGACTACAGCCTACCCTACTGTGCATGACTACAGCCTACCTTACTGTGCGTGACTACTGCCTTCCTTATGATGGGTGACTACAGCCTAACGTATGATGGGTGACTACAGCCTACCTTATGATGGATGACAACAGCCTACCTAATGATGGGTGACTACAGCCTACCTTACGGTGGGTGACTACAGCCTACATTATGTTGCGTGACTATAGCCTACCTTATGATAGGTGACTACAGCCTACCTTACGATGGGTGACTATAGCCTACCTTATTTTGGGTGACTACAGCCTACCTTACGGTGGGTGACTACAGCCTACCTTACGGTGGGTGACTACAGCCTATCTTACTGTTGGTGATTACAGCCTACCTTATGATGGGTGACTTCAGCCTACCTTATAGTGGGTAACTACAGCCTACCCTATGGCGGGTGACTACAGCCTTCCTTTTAGTGGGTGACTTTAGCCTACCTTACGATGGGTGACTGCAACTTACCTTACGATGGGTGACTGCAACTTACCTTACGATGGGTGACTACAGCATTCTTTACGGTGGGTGACTTCAGCCTTCCTTATGGTGGGTCACTTGAGCCTTCCTTACGGTGGGTGACTGCAGCCTACCTTATGCTTTGTGACAGCCTACCTTATGGCAGGTGACTACAGCCTACCTTACGGTGGGTGACTACATCCTACAGTCATTTATCTTCATATAACCATTCCAGACGCCATATTGCCTCGCCCACACGAGAATCAGCTCGTATGATCAGGACACGTGCAGGTCTGGATGACCAAATCCTTCTCAAATCAACTGCTAAGTGTTTAAGTGTTCACTAACCCTTTACTAGAAACTAGCTCGGTAGCAACTTATATTAGTTATTATTATGTGATTAATAATAATGGTTCCTGAGAATTAATATAATTATGTATACCCACCAAATTTGTGAGAGGATAACACTCAGCAGGACCCCATTGCAAAATACAGTCCGTTTTCAATTAATTATAATAAAGTAAACCTAATAAACTTATAATTTTACAGTACAACAATAAATTACTGCTGGGAAAATTCCCCTATGACTAGAGCCTACCTTACGATGGGTGATTAGATCCTATATTACACTGGTGACTAGAACTTACCTTACACTGGTGACTAGAACTTACCTTACACTGGTGACTAGAGCCTACCTTACACTGGTGACTAGAGCCTACCTTACACTGGTGACTAGAGCCTACCTTACGGTGGGTGACCATAGCCTACCATACGTTGGGTGACTATAGCCTACCATTAGGTGGGTGACGAGGGTGTCGTAGCCCTGCTTCCACTGGAAGTCGTCACCATACTCCTGGAAGCGGTCAGCGTCCCTGGTGGCCACCTGCAGCCAGTCCGATGTCCCAAACACCAGGTTTACCATCTGTTGTATTAATACACAAGTTACCACCCTCACAATTACCTTCTTGGTAACCTAACACTCGTACATAACCTACTGTATGTGCTGATGTATGCTCACAGGGCATAAATACATAACTTACGTGGTGTTGTATACCTACAGGACGCTCATACATACCCTACGTGGTGTTGTATACTCACAAGACTCACTGGAACCACACACCAGAGTCACACACATCAGAGCCACACACACCAGAGCCACACTCACCAGACCCGCACACTAGAGCCACACACCAGAGCCACGCACACCAGAGCCACTCACCAGAGCAGCACTCACCAGAGACACACACCAGAGCCACACACAACAGAGCCACACACACCAGAGCCAAAACCCAGAGCCACACACCAGACACACACACCAGAGCCCCACACCTGACCCACACACCAGAGTCACATACTCATAAGAGCCAAATACAAGAGCCACACACCAGAGCCACACACCAGAGCCAATCACCAGAACCACACACCAGAGCCAAACATCAGAGCCACACACCAGAGCCACACACACCAGAGCCACGCACACCAGAGCAAATCAGCAGAGCTGCACTTACCAGAGACACACACCAGCGCCACACACAACAGAGCCACACACACCAGAGCCAAAACTCAGAGCCACACACCAGACCCACACACCAGAGCCGAACACCAGACCCACACACCAGAGGCACACACCCATAGGAGCCAAACACCAGAGCCACACACCAGAGCCACACACCAGAGCCAATCACCAGAACCACACACCAGAGACAAACATCAGAGCCACACACCAGAGCCTCACACCAGAGCCACACACCAAAGCCACACACCAGAGGCACACACCAGAGCCACACACCAGAGACACACTTCAGAACCAATCACCAGAGCCACACACCAGAGCCAAATATCAGAGCCACACACCAGAGCCTCACACCAGTGCCACACACCAAAGCCACACACCAGAGGCACACACCAGAGCCTCACACCAGAGTCACACACCAGAGCCACACCCCAGATGCACACGCCAGAGCCAAACACCTGAGCCAAACACCAGAGGCACACACCAGAGCCACACACCAGAGCCACACACCAAAGCCACACACCAGAGCCACACACCAGAGCCACACACCAGAGCCCCACACCAGAGGCACACACCAGAGCCACACACCAGAGCCACACACCTGAGCTACACACCAGAGGCACACACCAGAGCCACACACCAGAACCACACACCAGAGCCTCACACCAGAGCCACACACCAGAGCCACACACCAGAGCCTCACACCAGAGCCGCACACCTGAGCCACACATCAGAGCTAAACACACCAGAGCCTCACACCAGAGCCGCACACCTGAGCCACACATCAGAGCTAAACACACCAGAGCCACACATCAGAGCCACAGACACACACCAGAGCCAGACAATGGAGCCACACACCAGAGCCACACACCAGAGCCGCACACCAGACCAGCACATCAGAGCCTCACACACCATAGCCACACAGCAGAGCCGCAAACCAGAGCAGCACACGAGAGCCACACACACCAGATCCACACACGCTCAAGAGTCACACATACACCAGAGCCTCACACCTGAGCCACACACACCAGAGCCACACACTCCAGAACCTCACACCAGAGCCACACACACCCAGAGCTACATACTACAGAGCCATACACACCAGAGCCACACACCACAGCCACACACACACCACAGCCACACACACCAGAGCCACACACCAGAACCACACACGCACACCGGATCCGCATTCACCAGAGTCACACACTTCAGAGCCACATAACTCAGATCCACACACACCAGAGCAACACACCAGAACCACACTCAAAAGTCACACACACCAGAGCAACACACACCAAAGCCACACACACACCAGAGCCACACACCAAAGCAGCAGATAAGTGCCCCACCCCAAAGCCACACTCCAAAGCCACACACCAGACCCGCACATCAGAGCCGCACGTCAGAACGGCACACGAGAGACACACATCAGAGCCGGACCCAAGAGTCACACTACAGAGCCACACACCATAGCCGCACACACCAGAGCGACACACACCAAAGCCACACACCCCAGAGCCACACACAGCAGAGTCACACACTATAGCCATACACACCAGAGCCACACACCAGACCCACACACCAGAGCCACACATGCACACCAGAGCCACACACGTCCACCAGAGCCACACACTCCAGAGCCACACATACCAGAGCCACACACACCAGAACCACAAACACCAGAGCCACATACACCACAGCCACATACACCATAACCACACACACACATCAGAGCCACACACACCAGAGCCACATACACCAGAACCACACACACCAGAGCCACAAACACACGAGCCACACACACACCAGAACCACACACCAGAGCCACACACACCAGAGCCACACATACCAGAGCCACACACTCAAGAGCCACACACACACCAGAGCCACACACACACAATAGCCACTCACACCCGAGCCACACACACGAAAGCCCCACACACTCACCAGAGCAGCACACACACCAGAGTCACACATACCATAGCAACACACTCAATAGCCACACACACACCAGAGTCACACACCAGAGCCACACACACACAATAGCCACTCACACCCGAGCCACACACACACGAAAGCCCCACACACTCACCAGAGCCACACACACCAGAGCCACACACAAACCAGAGCTACTCACACACACCAGAGCCACACCTCAGAGCCGGACCAGAACCACACACCAGAGCCACACCTGAGAGCCGGACACCAGAACCACACACCAGAGCAACACACAAGAGCCACACACCAGAGCCTCACACCAGAGTCACACACACTCACTAGAGTGTTAATGAGAAGTGTGAGAAGCAATGATGAATCAGCTAGAATCGACTTGATATTCACCCTGAATGAGTCAGAAATAAGGGAAGTCAGAGTTGAAGCGCCAATAGGAATGACTTTTTTTTTGGCAGGGATATTCCTGCGCGACCCCTAAGCCTCTGGCTGGCCCACTAAGTGTTGCTTGTTTCTGTTTTACTTGGGCGGAGAATGAGTATTCATGACTCTAGGAATAAGTGACCACAGTGTATTGATTTTTGAGTACTTGGTGGAGGTAGGGATAACCTATCCAGGGATGGGATTGGAGGGAAAAAGACTAAATTACCGAAGAGGAAAATATGACGAGATGAGAAAATTCCTCTTGGAAATACCATGGGAAACAGAACTTAGCAACAAGAATGTTCAGGACATTATGGATTTTGTCACCCAGAAGTACCGGGAAGCTGCAAACAGGTTTATCTCCCGTCCAAAAGGAGAAAAACGAAAAACAACAGAAAAACCCATGGTTTAACCAGGAATGCAAGGTAGCAAAGCAACTGAGTAAGAGAACATGGAGAAACTACATGAATAACAGAACACCGGAGAGCAGGGAGAGATACCAGAGGGCCAGAAATGAGTACCTCAGAGTGAGGAGTTTTTAAAATGACATAGCAAGTAAAGCCAAGACCCAACCAAAGCTGCTCCACAGCCACATCAGGAGGAAAACAGTAGTGAAGGAACAAGTGATGAAACTGAGAAAAGGGGAGAACAGATACACAGAGAATGACATGGAGGTGTGTGAAGAACTCAATCTTCAGTCAAATAGAAAGATCTGGGGGTCGATATCACACCGAACCTGTCCCCAGAGGCAAAAATCAAAAGATTATCATCAGCGGCATATGCTAGACTGGCCAACATAAGAACTGCCTTTAGAAACTTGTATAAAGAATCGTTCAGGACCCTGTATACCACTTATGAAAGACCAATCCTGGAGAATGCAGCTCCAGCCTGGAGTTCATACCTAGTTAAACACAAGACAAAGTTAGAGAAGATCCAGTGGTATGCCACCAGGCTCGTCCCGGAATTGAGAGGAATGAGCTACGAGGAAAAGCTAAAGGAGCTAAACCTCAAATCCCTGCAAAACAGAAGAGTAAGGGGAGACATGATAACCACCTACAAAATTCTCAGGGGAATTGACAGGATGGACAAAGACAAACTCTTCAGCACGGGAGGCACACGAACAAAGGGACACAGGTGGAAACTTAGTACCCAGATGAGCCAAAGAGACGTTAGAAAGACTTTTTTCTGCGTCAGAGTAGTTAATAAATGGAATGCTCTAGGAAGTGATGTGGTGGAGGTTGACTCCATACACAGTTTCAAATGTGGATATGATGGTGCCCAGTAGGCTCAGGAATCTGTACACCAGTTGATTGACGGTTGAGAGGCGGGGCCAAAGAGCCAAAGCGCAACCCCCGCAAGCACAATTAGGTGAGTACAATTTGGTGAGTACACTACAGAGCCACTCACACACCAGAGCCAAACACACACCAGAGCTAAGCACACCAGAGCCACACACACCAGAGCCACACACATCAAGGCCACACACCAGATCCACAAACCAGAGACACACACGCACACCAGAGCAACACACGCACACCAGAGCCACACACTTTAGAGCCACACACACCAGAGCCACATATACAAGAACCATACACACCAGAGCCACACACACCAGAGCCACATATACAAGAACCATACACACCAGAGCCCCACACACCAGAAGCAATCACACACCAGAGTTACACACCAGAGCCACACACAGCAGAGCCACACACCAGAGCCGCACACCAGACTCACACACCCATAGGAGCCAAACACCAGACCCAATCACCAGAGCCTCACACCAGAGCCACACACCAGAGCCTCACACCAGAGCCACACACCAGAGACACACACCAGACCCACACATCAGAGCCACACTCCAGAGGCACAGGCACACACCAGAGCCGCACACCTGAGCGGCCTATCAGAGCACACACACACACCAGAGCGACACAACGGAGCCACACACCAGAGCCACACACCAGAACCGCACACCAGATCAGCACATCAGAGCCACACACAACATAGTCACACAGCAGAGCCGTAAACCAGAA